TATATATATATGGTGATAGCGTCGGGGCTAAAGCTAACAGGCTAAGCTGAGCTTCTTCTTCCATGAAGCAGCTCTGTTGTTGTCCATCCATATTTTCAGTTACAGACTGAGTCATTTCTACCTTCTCCTCTCTGTTAACACTCTCTGGTTTCATTTAAGAGTCGATCATCAGATATTGTCCAAGATTAACTTTCAGGGTGGATATAGCTCGCTAGCAGCATCGCACCGAGGACCTATCCACGTCATCATTTACCCAGAATTTATTTATTTATTACTAAACCTTATTTAATCGACATTATATACTTTTACGCTCTGCTTCATTCATATAGCCCACTAGCAAATTAACATTAGCTTACTCTCGGATGTCATGTGGATTGTGTACTGTCTTAAGCTTCATACTGCTTTAGAACTTCCCATGCTCTTCTGTACTTCTCCATAGTGTTTTGCCTCGCTGCTTGCAGCCTTTTCCTTGTCAATTCTTTTTGGAGTCTGGCAGAAGCCACCGTGTCATCCTTGTGATTGGGGTCTTCTTCTTCTACTACATTTAATGGTGGCTGGGAAATGGCTTAATGGTGCACCAAAACCTGGTCCTTTTGGAATGATATTTTTGGGATGGAGTTAGGTTTAGCACTATGCTGTGAATTGAGTTTAAGTTAAGGTTAGTTATGTACTGGTTAGGTTTAGGGTAAAGGTTAGGTTATCCTACAGAAATGAAAAGAAGTCAATACACAGTCAAAAAAAAGGTTAGAAATACAAACTTGTGTGTGTCTGCAGTGTTGGCAAATAACCTTATGAACAACTGCATGGGTTTTATTGGAACTCTGAGTAACCGCTGTTGGCCGTCTGTAAGGTCCAAGTTTCTAGGAGTGGCTCAAAGGACACATAACATATGGAGTCCAGAAAAGTTGGGAGCCTCAGCCAAAACAAACAAGAGAGAGAAACCTCGAACCCGCCAAGCAGTTGATCGTCAAAATTTGGGCTGGTCCCCTTGACCTATAATTCTCAAACTAAACCCAAGAAACAAAGCCTGAAAAATGAACTGCTGCTAACTCCCAACACAACTAACGTTTAAAGACAATGAACAAATGGGATATGGCACAATTTTGGCATCTATAATAGGGAGCGAATGTGGAGATGAGTGGCACCATCTTGTTCCTTTTAAAGAATTGTCAGCCAATCAGGTCTGCAGATATAGATAGAGCTCACATTTGGTGTGGTAGCAGCAGAGAGTCACCCCAACACATACCTTGAGGGCTAACTGACTCTGCAAAATCTTTGATCACAACCTTGGCATTAACCGAACCTCTCAGAAAATAATTATTGGCTCTACAACAGATTTAACTTTTGGTGTCACCACAATCAAAGGTGGTTAGCAATCTTAGTGAACAAAAAGAAATGGCTGCACCTCAGTTTTACAGATATTGAGCTTTAACTAAAGTCTATTATATAAGTGACTTTAGTTATTGCAGATGAATGGTCCTTCTCTCAATATGATGAGAGTTTATAATGGAGTCTTCGGACGGAGCTTGATTGCTTTGAGCGCCGCAGCAAGCGTCATTTTGTCTGCGCTCAGCTTAGTCCCTCACTCGAGCACCCTTCAGAGTTAATCCTCTGCATTCTTGTGACAGTATAATCTCTCTGTGCTGCTCCGGCAGCCGAGTCTCAGTTCTTCTGCAGTGCAGGTAGAGCAAACCCATTCCATGATGTTAGAGTAATGGATAAGGCACAGTTGCTGGACTCTTAACGTATTGCTAATGTTTGTTTCTTTCCTCTGTTGTAGGGGATAAGATCCTGGCCGCAGAGTGAAGTGGTGGTTTTGTCTGACCTTTAACCTCAGCAGGAAGAAGGAGAAGCCACTTCAGAAGTAAGAGTTCCTGTAAACTGTAGTGAGTAAATGTTGTGTTTTTTGGTAATAAAAGGAGGAATAATTGAGCCTAGTGCCAGTAAACTCTGCAAAATTCCCTCTTCTTTCCGCAAAAATGTCATTAATTCCACAGCAGCACTCTTTAACGTGGTCTTAAACACCGGTTTTATTGCTATCACTCTGACGTGCACACGCTTGAATTGTCACCGTTTTAAAGAAGGTGGTAGTTTTGAATTGAATTTTTGTTGTGAGTTAAAAAGTTGAGCCCAGTGTTGGAAGCATTTTATTCTCCAAAAAGCCTTGATTTGAGAAGGCCTCGTAAATCTCAACCAAATGAAAGAGAAGCCAAGTCTCTAAGGGAGAGTCTTTCTCCCCAAAGGACATAAATCCTAATTTAAGTGGAACCATGTGAGGGTGAATCGTAACTGTTTCTTATTTTTTAATGAGCAATCTTCTTAAAGTCTTGTATTTATACAATTTGAATATCTGAGTTGTGTTTTGTTGGCTGAGTTTAAAAGTTCATTTTTTTGTTTACAAAATTCTGAATCTCCTTTTCCAGAATGTTTTTTTTTATTTGATAGAATTTGTGTAAATCTCTGACTTGACTGCAGCCTTTCCAGTATTTTTTTAAAGCACATCTTACTTCAGAGAAGCTAAAAGAAAAAAATGGCAGCTTTGTTAAAAAGTCTAAAATGCACAATTGACACACAATACCCCTTGTTTAATGAAAGAAAACCCACTATGGTCACAGAAATAACTAGAGTCAGACAAAAATAATAATGAAATAAATGAAAATGAATAAATGAGTCAGACATTTTTTTCAGCCATGCTTCAACAGAATTTATTTAAGAATAAAACTCATGAAACAGGCCTGGACAGAAGTGATGGTACCCCTGAAAATAATGTGACCAAAGGAACATGTTAAATCAAGGTGTGTCCACAGGTGTCTACAGTCTTATCAATCAGTGGGCCTGTATACAGGGCTACAGATACTTACTGTTTGGTGACATGGTGTGGATCACACTCAACATGGACCAGAGGAAGCAAAGGAAAGAGTTGTCTCAGAAGATTAGAAAAAAAAATAGACAAGCATGAAATGGTAAATAGCTTGAACTTATATAGCACCTTTTCAAATCCACAAGTTGCTTTACACTTCAGGAATTCACCCATTCATACACACATTCACACACTGATGATGGTAAGCTACATTGTAGCCACAGCTGCCCTGGGGCACACTGACAGAGCATAGTGGCTGCCATGCACTGATGCCACTGGACCCTCTGACCACCAGCAGTAGGCAAGCAGTTTAAGTGTCTTGCCCAAGGACACAACGACTGAGACAGCTAGAACAGCGGATCGAACCGGTGACCTACCGGTTCCAGGACGACTCCCCTAACCACTCCACCACAGCTGCACTTTATGTTAAAGGTAAAGATTATAAGACCATTTCCCAGCAGCTTGATGTTCCTGTGCACATATTATTTAGAAATTTAAGATCTATGAGACTGTAGCCAACCTCCCAGGACATGGCTGCAGGAGGAAAATTGATGACAAATCAAAGAGACGCATAATACGAATGGTAACAAAAGAGCCCAGAAAAACTTCTAAAGAGATTAAAGGTGAACTTCAAGCTCAAGTATCATCAGTGTCAGATCTGACCATCCATCGTTGTTCGAGGCAAAGTTTATTTGATGGGAGACGAACAAGGAGGAAACCGAATCATAAAAAAGCCAAACTGGAATTGTTCTAAATTTTCTGAAGCTGCTGTGCTGCATCTGGGACAGGGTGTCTTGAAACTGTGCAGGCTACAATGAAATCTCAAGACTATCATGGATTCTAGAGAGAAATGTGCTGCCCAGTGCCAGAAAGCTTGGTTTTAGTCGCAGGTCTTGCAACAGTATAATGACCCAAAACACAGCTAAAAACATCCAAGAATGGCTGAGAGGAAAACATTAGACTATTCTGAAGTGGTCTTCTATGATTCTGACCTAAATCCTATTGAGCATCTTCAAACCTGAGACAAGTGGAGCAGTCTGCTCATGAGGAGTGGACCAGAATACCTGCTGAGAGGTGTAGAAGTCTCATTAACAGCTACAGGAAGCATTCAATAGCAATAATTACCTCAAAAGATTGTGCAACAAAATATTAAGTTAATGGTACCATCATTTCTGTCCAGGCCCGTTTCATGAGTTTTATTTATTTATTCTGTTGAAGCGTGGTTGAAAAGCAATGTCTGACTTTGATTTGTTCATTTTATATAATTTTTATTTATTATTACTTTTGTCAGATTCTAGTTATTTCTGTGACCATTTTGGGTTTTTCTTTCATTAAAACGAGGGGTACCAACAATTTTGTCCATGTGTGTAGATCTTTTGGGACAGAAATATGTAGAAAAGACACTAATTTCTAACACTGATTTCCTTCTCTATTGACTCTGTTTCAATTTGTGTCAAAAGTGGAGACTTCAAACTTTAAACCAGTTCTTAAATTTTGTTGTTAGGCAAAGTAAAAAAGGAGTTATGATAAATAGAATATTCCACATTTTATTTTCTTAAAATGAGTCTGATTTGATGTGCGTTGGGTTGTGAGCAGGAAACACATTCCTGTGGAAAAAAAACACCTCAATCCACTGTCAGTTTCCAAAAATTAAAAAAGCCTCCGTTCTTTTTCCTGACTGGGGCCCAAAGTTATTTGTTAAGCAGCAAGAAATCTACAGGACAAAGAAAAAAGAAAAAGAAAAAAAGAGCGAGCAGCACTTGGATGTCTGACTCAGTAGTGGGAGTGCTGCTCCAAAACTACACTTAAATGGGCCAGCAGAACCAAGGATCCGTTCTGAGCTCTGGAAAACAGTAAGGTGTTTAAGGAGTCCAGGTTTAGGCCCACTTTCCTCTCAGACTTAAAGAAAAAAAAAATCGGTTCCTTTTCAGTCATTTCGCTCAGTACAACACACAGTTGCATATGGGACACGCGCCCTCGCGCACCTGGCTGAAGCCACCTCTAATCACGTCTTTAGACCGGTGATGTGGTGACGTTGAACGTTGGGTGACAGGCTCCGCCTTCACACTATAAGTTCGGAGTCACCAGCGTCATTACTCAGTTCTATCGCCCTTCACCTCGCGATAGTCACCTCTAAACCTGAGCTCACATAGCTGCTGCTAGTTAGCTCAGCTTCTAAGGTTCTTAGGCTAGCTTTACTGGTGCTAACCGCATTACCTGCTGGTTCGTGTGTCTGCCGCTTGACGCTACTTAAGTGACCTTTATTTTCTGCTGAAAATCTGTTTTGTGGTTCACGATGAGCACAAAACCACCTTTGAAGAAGCCGAAGTCTTCTGTTCGCCCCTGTCCTCAGGGGTGCGGCTTTAAGCTTCATGAGAAGGACCAGCATGAGGCCTGCCCGGCCTGCCTAGGAATCATTCATGCTCGACGGGCGCTTGTGGAGCCCGAGTCCTGCCGGGCCTGTGCCGGACTTT